ATCTTTCCTGCTTTCTCTTGTGGGTATTTAGTGCTATAAATGTCCCTCTAAACAGGGCTTTATGTGTGTCCCAGAGATTCGTTGTATCTTTGTGCTTATTGGTTTCAAAGAACATCTTTATTTCTGCTTTCATTTATGTGATTTACTTAGTAGTCATTCAGGAGCAGGTTGTTCAGTTTCTATATAGTTGTGTGGTTTTGAGTGAGTTTCTTAATCCTGAGTTCAAATTTGATTGCACTGTGGTCTGAGAGACTGTTATGATTTCCATTCTTTTGCATTTGCTGAGGAGTGTTTTACTTCCACTTATGTGGTCAATTTTAGAATAAGTGAAATGTGGTGCTGAGAAGAATGTATATTCTGTTGATTTGGGGTGGAGAGTTCTGTAGATGTTTATTAGGTCTCTTTGGTCCAGAGCTGAATTCATGTCCTGGATATCCTTGTCAATTTTTTGTCTTGTTGATCTGTCTAATATTGACAGTGGGGTGTTAAAGTTTCTCACTATTATTGTGTGGTAGTCTAAGTCTCTTTGTTGGTCTCTAAGGACATGCTTTATGAATCTCGGTGCTCCTGTATTGGGTGCATATATATTGAGGATCGTTAGATCTTCTTGTTTCTTTGATCCCTTTACAATTATGTAATGACCTTCTTTGTCTCTTTTGATCTTTGTTGGTTTAAAGTCTGTTTTATCAGAGACTAGGATTGCAACCCCTGCTTTTTTATTTGACTCTCCCATTGCAGTTTATTTTAAATACCTTATTCTGCGATCACTTAATGTGGTATTTTATAGCCATATTCACATCTTACTTTCCCTGCTAAATACATCCTACTCAAATATAAAATATTGAATTTTTAGTAATTCCTACCATGTTTAACCCTGCACATGCACCTACTTCAATAAACGAATACATTCTAAAACAAATGAATGGCTGCATTTATCAACAGTGTTCAAAGTTAAAAAGCATGATTACAGCTTGTGTTTATTGGTATCAATTGTTGAAATATATTACCCCATAGTTACTTCTGTGTTAAGTGATAGGAAAGCAAAGAGAAAGATGTGAAAGCAAGAAGTGCATAAAACTAAGCAAACAACAACAAAAACCCAAGACAATACATTTTTGGGGTATGGATGATTTCTTCCTGTGTTATACTTGGGGTTCTCTTCTCCCCAGGGAATGCAAGATGATTCCTTTTATTGACTGAGTGGAAGAGGAAGTGGGCTTGTGTAGTTCAGTCTCTTTACCTTACAACTTTTCAGGAGCTAGCATGTGTGCAGAGGAAAGGCATCCTCAAGCTTTGAAAATGCCGAAAGTATTATAGGGGCAAGCTTTGAGACTGTGGGGTTTAAGTCTACAGGTTTGGAGTTAAGTTCACCTTGAAGAAATATTAAAAGCTGGTGTTTCGGATAAGAAACCTTGAGACATACACAGTTAAGGAGGGAGATATGAAAATCTAATGGAGATGTGGAGAAGAGGGCTCACGTGGGATTGATCAGATGACTGTAAGAGTAAGTAAGGCTTGCAGGTGACACCTTAGAATCAAGCATGAACTATGGAGGCCTCATCAATGGAGTAAACCTTGAAGTACTCAAGCCTTACGACGAGTAGCTTGCTTCAGCATAGCCATAATGGTGTTCTCCGGCTCTCCTATCCATTTAGGGGCTGCTTTAGATTGTATTTGGCTATATTACAATGCTTACAATTCCATACGTTTCTGAGATCCAAACCATAGCTCCAACCATATAAAAGAGTCATTTTTTATAATGGATAAATTCATTCATATGAAGTCCTCAGAAAGAGAAAATGATACTGTCTTGGCTTGACATAGAGGTGTAAGTCATAAGATTAAACGGGCTGTTATATATTGATTCTTTTCAACATAGCATTCCTGCACCTACCTAGATTTGTGCAGCATGGATGAACTTCATCATATCTTTTTCTGTTCTGCTAGGGCAGTGAGGCTGTTCACTTTCCAACTTCTAAAATTGATATTGCTCTTCAATATTGTCTTATAAACCACATAATCCATTGGTTCTGGAACTCTTCCCTGAACTCAAAATCACACCCCTGAGCTCTTAAGTCACAGTCCAGTGTCTTTCCTCTACCAAGAATTCATTTATCCTTCTGTCACCTGTTGAAATCTGGCCCAGGACTCACAAAGGGTATCTTAATTTTCAAAACAAAAAATTGTTTTCGGCCAGGTGTGGTGACTCACGCCTGTAATTCCAGCACTTTGGGAGGCCAAGGCGGGAAGATCACGAGGTCAGGAGTTCGAGACCACCCCGACCAACATGGCGACACCCTGTCTCTACTAAAAGTACAAAAATTAGCCAGGCGTGGTGGCAGGTGCCTGTAATCCCAGCTACTATGGAGGCTGAGGCAGGAGAATCGCTTGAACCCAGGAGGTGGAGGTTGCAGTGAGCCGAGATCATGCCACTACACTCCAGCCTGGGTGACAGCAGTGAGACTCCGTCTCAAAAAAAAATGCTTTATTATTTTTCTGTGATCTTGTGGTATATATGCTGTTATTATATTACATATGCCATTATACCACTTACAATATTCTCCATACAATTACAATTTATGTTGGTTTCCAGACTGAGTCTGAAATACTTTACAATACAATGTCTGAAATGACTGAATTTTCAACAGTGCAGAATTTTACATACCATTTCATTCTTCTACATTTCATCCATCATTTTAGATACCTCAATACCATGACTGATACTAAGTAGTTTAAAAACTATCTAAGGATAAGGACATTATATCCCTCTATATTGTTTATTATATCCCTCTATATTGTTTAGTAAATGATATTTCTTCATAGGAAAAAGACATGCTGTTTTAAGCGCTGTGCCTTTCTGTACTTTTATTTTGTTACTATAAAAAAAATCCACAGATGAAAACCTATGGCTATGATATATTTACAATATAATACTCATTTGACAATGAAGTTATAATATATAATTGAATCAAAGGACTCTGCTGATACAGTGAATAAAAGAACATATGTAAATGATTCTTATATGGTACAAAATAGATATTAATAATAATATTATGAGCGATTTGAATGAAACAGTTACCATTATCAAAGCAACTTTTTTTTTTTTGAGGCAGAGTCTCGCTCTGTCACCCAGGTTGGAGTGCAGTGGTGCGATCTCGGCTCACTGCAAGCTTCGCCTCCCAGGTTCATGCCATTCTCCTGCCTCAGCCTCCCGAGTAGCTGGGACTACAGGCGCCTGCCACCTCGCCCGGCTAGTTTTTGTGTATTTTTTTAGTAGAGACGGGGTTTCACCGTGTTAGCCAGGATGGTCTGGATCTCCTGACCTCGTGATCCGCCCGCCTCGGCCTCCCAAAGTGCTGGATTACAGGCTTGAGCCACCGCACCCAGCCCAAAGCAACTCTTTAAAAAGAATGCAAGCTGTTGAAGAAAGACTTCCATCCTGCTGTGTTAGAAAAGGATTGTGGTCTACGACTGTAGTGGAAAGAAACCCTGACAGAATATATTAATATATTTTCAAAATATTATACATTAGATTGCTAGATCATTTATGTTGTAATATCTGCTAAGACTCTAATATGGTCCTACCAGTAAATCTACTTTTAAAAAGGAAGCAAAATGTATAGTTAAAATTCATCTTGAATTAATAACTGAGATAATGGTATAAAGATTAAAAAAAGGAATATTCCTTCTGCCTGTAGAAAATGATGACCTCATCGTTATAGCTGAAGAGGACTGAAATACTCCAGAACATGCCTTTCAACTTCTCCTTTCATTCTTTTTCTTCTCATAATTTAACCTTTGTGGGCTCATAATTATATAAATAACACAAGAGGAAAATAAAATGTATTTTCTACTAAGGGAATGTATCGGTAGGAAAAGCAATACAACAGATTTAGACCATCAAGAACATTCAAAATTGTAGTAAAAATATACAGACTAGCATATGAATCATGTATGAGCATTTAAAATAACTAAGGTAGAATTGAAAATGAACAGGCATGAAAGCATTTGCCAAGATGTCCAGATTTAAAAAAAAAAAAAAAAGATGAGAATGCTAAAAATTAAAAACATAATCACTAAAGCTCAATGTATGGATAAAATAAGAGATTAGATACTGGGGAGAACCTTGAAAATACAGACCTGAAAAAGAAATAGAAACTGGGAAGGAGAGGGTAAGAGATGTGGGAGGTGTGAAAATGCAAAGTTATGTCTTCAGAGTTTCAGAAAGAGATCATAGAAAATTGAGGAGTGGTTATCTGAAGAAATAATGCAAATTTCCAGAATTGATTAAAATGTGATTCTGCAGATACAGCAATTACGGTAAATAAAATGCATGTATACTTATGACTTTATAGTGGAAGTATAGTGGAAGAGTAGAACACCAAAGACAAAGTATTATTTAAAGCAGACAGTAAGAGAAAAAAATAACGTCTACAGGAGTAGCAACAAGATTTAAAGGAAATGCTTGGGGAATAAAGATAATATAAAATAAAAATATTAATGTGTACATCCTTATCCAGGAAATTTATTCAACCTAAATTGATGAAATGATAATTTATAAACAGTAAAACTTTTGTTTTCCTTTTAGATAAATAAGGTACTCTATGTAAACAAACAACCAAAGTGCTTTCTGGAAGAACTTTCTGAGTAACAAGATATAACAAGAATTTAAAAAGGACTGTCATTGTTCTTGACATTATCTTGTATTTTCAAAATGGGCAGATAAGTATAATTAATATCAAGTTTTTAGATGTCCCATTTATAATTGACTTGTGACGGAATATCTTTCAGTAGAAAATAAATGGAGTTGTAACTTAGTAACATTGTTACCAAATTTCATATTCAAGAAATATTAAATTCATATCCAAGAAGTATATATTGTATAATTTAAACTTTTGCACAAAGCACTTCTTTATGCTTCCCCTGGAACCATATACGTATAATTTAATGCCATGTACCCTCAGCAGTAAAGGGCCAGGGTCGACCTTTCTGGGACTCACCTCCCCTTCTGTAGATTGCAAATGGAGCTCCTTCCTGCAGGTGGCCTTGAAGTCTCCTGCAGCAGCACTCACCTGGACCCCACGAGGAGCTTCCATGATCAAGGATCTGGTGGGTGATTCAAGCCTAAGGGGGAAAAAAAAAAAATCATTCATAGAAAAAAGAAAATTTTTGATAAACTAGAAGACAACATTAGTCAACTTAAAACAACAACCAGAAAAACATACAGACCAGACAGGAATAAAGGAAGTTAGGCAAAGCCAAAATGAGTTTTAGAACAATTTTTGATTGACTTATCTATTTTTGGCTCTTTATAAAAATCTACATTTATTCACATCAAGTATTGACTCTCACCAATTTGCTTATGGTTTCTTTTGCTGTTTGAAAGGTAGGGTGTGATAAGTATACTTGCTAAAATTTTGGATAACTCACTAATATTAATGACGGAGGTTCAATTAAAAGAGTACTACAGTTTAGGATGTTGATATATGTATTCCTCAATAAAGAGTCCCTGTCTTGTAAACATGAATGTGTTAATGAAAATCGTTAATATTGCAAACTTTCAGGCATGCACAAAATATTATGTACTTGACACCTCTAGAAACTGATTAAAAGAATGAAATAAGACATTTTCTACATCAACTAACTCTGATGGCCCCGTGAAATGTCCACAGAATGAGTGACATTAGTCTGGGAAAGAAAAATCAATAGGAGGGTAATATACAAGTATAAATGTGATGGAAGGTTGGCTACATAAATTATGAGGGCAAAAAAACAAGTGTTTTATACAGTCATGCCTACAGAAAGAGAGTTGGGAAGCAATTTTCAAATTATCTTCAAATATGACACTAGAGAAAAAGCAAAAATGACACAATACAGGAACTAGAATACAGTGGTAAAAAGTGCTAGTATAAGAAGAGGTAGGATCCATGCATTGGTCTTTTTAGATCAGCTTTCTGCCTTGGGGATGCAACTGCCTGTGATCCCCTTGACCACGGGAGTTTAAGAGGAGGGTCCCCTCAGGCTCATATTCACAGTTATCCAGCACAACTGGTTTTGTTTTCGGTTTCTGAGGCAATGAATTCAGAGTGGTTTTGCAGAAAGAACCACATCAAATGGTTAGGTCTCTGGAGTTCAGTTCCCTCTCGGCAGGAAAATCAAACTTAAAAGCTTAAAAGTGATATGGAAGGAGCAGCACCAGCATTTAGAAGTGGTTTCAACACTTTCGTTTTCTCTTGCAACTTTAAAATTTTAATCCCTATGGGCCATTTGGAGATCTATCCTCATATAATCCCTGGAGGGGAGAGGTTTTGAATATATCTATTTTTAATAAACGTTTGTATTTTTTTTTTATTAAACAGAACTCCCCGTATTTTCCATAGAAGATTTGATTTCCACAGAATATTTGAAAACTTGAAGACAATCACTCATAATCCCACTACTTATACAATTTACTATTAGCATTTTACACACAGTATCTAAATGTCAACATTTGAATGTTAAAATGTACTTTTTATCACTGATTTTTCCCTGATACATAACCCTTCTAGAACTACACAGACTCTTAGCAACACAGTATCAACAATTAAATGTTGTCCCATGGCTGGGCGCGGTGGCTCACGCCTGTAATCCCAGCACTTTGGGAGGCCAAGCGTAGTGGCGGGCGCCTGTAGTCCCAGCTACTCCGGAGGCTGAGGCAGGAGAATGGCGTGAACCAGGAAGGTGGAGCTTGCAGCGAGCAGAGATCACGCCACTGCACTCCAGTCTGGGCAACAGTGCGAGACTCTCAAAAAAAAAAAAAAAAAAGGTGTCCCACTTCTCTCTTGTATGGAAATTCTCCCGTTCACTGAGGAGGGTTTCACGGACTTATTTATATTATAGTAGAAGTTTTCAATTAAACTGTTCATGTTATTATGAAATATTCTCTGGAAAAGCCTGTTGAAAAGGGAAACCTAAGTTTATTGGCACTACTTGTGGATTTCTATGTAAATAGTCAGTGGAATTAGTGAATTATAATTGTATTCATGTGGAAAGCATTACAGCAAATATAGTAGTGAGTTTCAGACTGGCTTTCACAGTGGGTAGGTAGTAGTATGGCAGAGAGAAGGATTAATGTTTAACTCAAGTCCCTCTGCCACCTGGTTTTTCAAAGCATTCTGTTTTTCCTGGTGTTTATATACCAAAGATGCAACAAGATACTGTTTCTAAGGTGTTATGCAACTATCAAATTTAAAAAGTCTGTGGCCTAAATCTCTAGAAGAATTATCAACATTCAGAAAAAAGAATTCAGACTTTAAAAGAATTCAGACTTTAAAACCACCTAAGTTGCAAGAATGCAATTGTTAAGTATTAAGCAGAACTTAAACATCAGAAGAAACAAAAAGAAAGGGAGGGAAAAGGAAAGGAAAAAAAACAAATACACTACTTTATCATAATGTTCTTCTCATAGGTAGAAGAAAACCAGCAAAGCGATCTACCCCTTTATTGAGGAAATGTGTCAGACAACATCCTGACTGCTTAATAGAGTTTTTTTCCTTGATAGAGTTTTTTTCCTTGAATATATTAATGATGTATATTAGAGCTATGTGTTTCTAGAGATTAACTTGGAGCCTGCAAACCTTAATATTTCTGTGATAAGGTGTATTTTTGCAAGAATGAGAATTATGAAAAGATGCCAAATATATGATTAACTATTAATTCATTTTACAGAATCCAAGTGCAGATTATTTTCTTATTCTGTACTTAATGGATTTCAGATCCAAAAATAAATCTTTAGGAAATTGGCACTGTATAATTAATTTCATCACTTTTTACCATAGGTACAGAAACTCTTCAAACTGTAGCAACTTAACTATATATTAATGTTAGAAATAAAAAAGAGTGAACATTGGGCTGTTGTGGGCAAATTTACTATTATGTCTTTGTTAACTATTTAACATATATTGTTTAGCCTTTTAAAATATAGACTCCATAGTACAAAACAGTATCATCTTATCTAAAAAAAAAAAAAAAAAATCAAAGAAAATCCACAGTTTTAAAATGCACATGAAAACCAGCACAGAACTTGAGAAATACTAGACACTCATCAAACATCTGCTGAATAAATAAGTCATAGAAATCCACCACATTTCTTCACCAAAATATTATTATTCTATTGATATAATAAACTTTTGAAATTTTTTCTTTTCTGAAGTCTAAATCAAAGAAAACATGGCTACCTACTCCCTAAATTAACAGTTTATTGACTTGGCCAACCAATGAAACCATGTTGATTAGAGCTAGGCATCAAGTAACAGTACTTACTTCTCTGAAAGGAAAACTGTCAGCAAGGCTTGTAAAGTTTTTCTCAAACACCCTGCTTTTAATGTTCATTACACAAATAAATAATTGAATACCTACATAATTACTCGACTTTGCTTCTGTTTCAGCTTGGAAATTTAGTAACACTTATCTTCGGGATTGCCAGTCTGCTTTTACAACCAGCTGATCAATCCAGCTTAGTGCAATGTTTAAATAATGATGAATAATTAGAAAATGAAAACCAGAAACACTATACACTAGATATAATATCATTCACATTTTCACTTATGAATTGTGAAATATGTCAGCAAGATCATTAAAATACCAGTTGGTTCTTATTCCTCTTTTAATAGACTCTCCATTGTTACTAAAACGTTAGAAATAAAAAATATTTCTTCTTTAAGAATAAATGTAAATAATTAAAAAATACTTCTATAAATGTAGTAATTAAGTTTATTGAATAAATTAGTAAACAGCTGTGTCTGTATTAAAACACAGATGAAAAAAATTGGAATCAATGCTCTTCACATGTGCCTTTGTAATACAGTAATGACTGCAGCCACTTTCCTTATATCCCACTTATTTAGTTAATGTCCCCATTTTTCATCTTTGCTAAGTTTCAGTAACTCACATTAACGAATCCTTATTGCAACTAGGATGTGTAAGATAACAGTGCTGGCTGCTCCAGCATTAAGGATGAACAAGGGACATGTGTATCCTGTTCTAATGGAATTTATAGTTTGTTAGGAGAAGAAAGATACAATAAATATTTTCACAAAAGTTGTTGAATTCCTCCCTGAAAAAAAAGCCATAAATGAAGACTGTAGCACCTATGAGACACTCCTCAGCACTCCTAAATCCCTAGGGTTTTTATCTAGAGTAGGTAATTATTACGTTGCTCTTCTAAAATAAGTCTTAGTCCTTGAAGGCGGCCACTTTTTTTCTAATATTGTTCCCTAGCTTGTTTGAATCTGTGTTACTCAAGTAGTGAGAAACTGAGTTCTTTAGGAAATTTTATCATAGGACTCTAAAGGACTAAAAAAGTTACTGTTGTAAAGTATGGTTTTGTTGCCTTAAAGATTTTCAACTTTATTTTTTGTTTCCATCTGAGTACATATACACTCATCCAGTGTGAAGGGCTAAACACCAATCCTTATGAATAAAAAGGTTTTTTAACTTAATATTTTTATTTTGCTTCCCAAGACAGCAACTATGTCTCTCAGGCTGATACTTTGATCCAACTTTAAAAGTGACTTTTAATATGTGATTAGTTTTTATCAGCAGTATTTGCATATTTCCTTTTCCTATACAATAATAAGTTCATTTCAGAATGTAATTTATCTATCATAAATTATTAAACCATAATCACCAAATCTTATGTAATGAATTAAGAACATCCACTGAGCAGTTTTGTATGAGGGATCTAGATTTTAATATTTTGAATTTAATCAACGGTGGTAATAATTATCCTGGGAAGAATTCCCTATAATGTTGGAATTTTCTGGATGGTGAGAGCTTTTACAAATAACTGCCTCCTAGAACCATTACACTGTCAGGAAGTAGTTTATTCCATTGGAAATATTAGACTGAGGAACCCCATCAAAGTCCAATTAAGTTCTGCCTTTTTCTGATTAGCTTCCATTTGCTTCCATAGTCCCCTGTATGTAATACTCTGTGGTCATTTATAGCTTTCTCAGCTCCCTATTTGCCCTGTCTTTATTCCTATATATGCCATATATTTCATTATATATGTCAGATTTTCCAGCATTCCTGTTTTTGTTGTTGTTTTTATTGTGTTTTGTTTCATTTTTACAGACGGGGTCTTACTGTGTTTTCCAGGCTGGAGTACAGCAGCATAATCATAGCTCACTGCAGCCTCGACCTTCTGGGCTCAAGCAATCCTCTGGTCTCAGCCTCCTGACTAACTTGGACTACACATGTACACCACCATGCTCGACTAATTTTTATGTTGCCAGGTCTTGAACTTCTGATATCAACTGATCCTCCTACCTTGGCCTCCCAAAGTGCTGGGATTACTGGTGTGAGCCACCACACCCGACCTCAGCATCCCTATTTTTATTAGTTCCTCTCACTTACTCTATAACTGCCTTTGCCTTTTCTTTTCTACATTCTTGCTATCTAATATATTCATTTTTGTATTTATTTTAAGTATATTGGGGGAAACATTGTCTAACTGTCTATTTTAGTTCTTCATATATTAAAGCTGATCAACAGTGATGGAATTTATGCCACATGTATAAGAGGAAGCACTTACCTGAGATCTTGGGATGGCTCTGCTCTGATGTGCGGCGTCTCCACAGAGTGCCCAAATACAGCTCCTTCAGTGCCTGGGGGTAGCATGAATATAGCAGTCAGTATAAGCAAGTCCACACAGTGACTTTCATCTCTATTTTTATGCATCAAATATTCTTCCCAAAGAGAGAAAACTTAAAATAGGTATATAACATGTATTAGTCCATTTTCACACTGCTGATAAAGACCTACCCGAGACTGAGGAGAAAAAGAGGTTTCATTGGACTTGCAGTTCCACATGGCTGGGGAGGCCTCAGAATCATTGCAGGAGGCAACAGGCACTTCATATATGGCAGTGGCAAGAGAAAAATGAGGAAGATGCAAAAGCAGAAACCCCTGATAAAACCATCAGATCTTATGAGACTTATTCACTACCATGGGAATGAGAACATTATGGGGGAAACCACCCCCATGATTCAATTATCTCCCACCGGGTCCCTCCCACAACACGTGGGCATTATAGGAGTACAATTCTCGATGAGATTTGAGAGGGGACACAGAGCCAAACCATATCACAGGATATGAATGAGAAGAATGAGAAGAATATCACCAGGCAGGGAAGAGTCAATCAAGGTAAATGTAAATGTCATTATATATTAAATGATTTTAAAATTAAATTATTAAAGTCAAGATTCCCACTCTCTCATTAAAGAACAAAAGCTCATCTCTGTCCCCTGCCTTATTTTCCAGTTAAGGGAAATTGAGGGAGGGATACGTCACAATACTTAATTCTGTGTTTCTATAAATAATAGCAGGTCATGAATAAAAATGTGGAGGTGGGCTCCAGTGTAGCCTACTATTGGTTTTTACAGACATACCCTGATAGATGTTTAGCAGTTCTCACACACAGAGCTCCCACTTTTGATTACAGTAACCACCAAATGAGAGAGAACATGTCATGTTACTTTGACCTCTCTGGGGTTAGGGCTTTATCTAAAACCATGAACTGCTTTAAATCATGTTGTTATAGGTGGTTTCATATGGCATCATAGTTTTCCAAAGAGGTCATATACTCTAACACTTTTCTCAGGAGGTTGAATGATACTCTATCTCAACTTTCATTTACTGAATCCACTTTTTTTTTCCAGATTCCCATAGCTTTTTCATAATTTAAGTAAAATGGAAGGATTCTTCAATTACCAAAACCAAGTGGAAAAAAAAATGCTCCAAATAAGATGACACTGAGAAAATCTTTTCTGTAATTTTGCATAAATGTCTTTGATTATCACCCTCAAAATAAACTTTATCATTTTGTTTTTTGATCTAATCTTCTTCAAACTTCTTAGTTTAAGAACCTCATATCTGTTCCATCAGTGGCTTCAACACTAGCTAAATTATACAATGTAACATAAAAATATATATTTGAAGCATACAAATCTGCTTTTGTCTAATGAGAAAAAATAATGTAAAACATATTAATTCAAGAAGCAATGATGAAATGGCCACTAGGAAATTAAAGCTAAAATTCCAATTCCTTAAAAATAAATTGCTATATATGGAAATGTATTAGAACCATCAGATTACTCCTTTGCATAATATAGCAATACAGACCTTGATCATGAATAGAAGAGGAAGAGATTTTTTTTCAAAGACTGTATGATTTCATCTATATTCTGGTTCTGAGGGCAAACTTACCAGGTTCAGCTGCAGTAAATCCCTAAGATTGCAGATTTCTGTTTATAAACTAAAAGCTATTGGCATTTGTTGAACACTCAATGGGTTTAATAGTGTTCTCTCTTGTCTCTCTCTGTCTCTCCTGAGACTCTGTAGGACATATGCTCCTTGTTTTTAACACTTTTCCTCATGAATTTTGAGAAATAACTTATTTAAGGGGTTTATTCTGTTGATATTTTGGAAGATATTTATTTTATTTCTCCAAGTGGAATGTTCCTTAAGATGAGTCTTTCAAAGTAAAACAGTAGTTGGAGGTAACAGTAGTTTTGTGATCATGGTGGAGACAGCATGTGAAAGAATATTACAAGATATACATTTGTATATCTCAAAGAGAGACTCTGGCATTTTGTAATAAGATATGCATCCCAGAAAAGATAGTTATCCATGTGCAAAGTTTAAAAATTAATTTCCACTATTGCATGATTATGAAAATTTCCCAGATAAGGTGACAGAAATATAATTAGACATCAGTAATATTTACTTTCAAATACATAATGACATACTTAGTAACTAAGCACAAACTTTATCAGTGAAAATAAAAATAGAATGTCATCAAAAGTTTAAATTTTCAATGAGAAATAAAAACTGACAGATGTCTCGATTCTGAGTTCCAGTATAAAAATAATCATTGTTAAAGGATTCTTGAGGAAATAAATATGTAATCATGCCACTTAAAGGGTGAAATTGTAAACTAAATAATATGAGTAGTTAACAAAATGCAGGCCTCTAGAAAATGAGAAATTCACTCTCCCTGTTTCTGTCCTGAATGAGCCAAAGGTACGAAATTAATAAGCAACACAGATAATCTTAAAGGAAATCAGTAAGGGATGATAAAAGCCACCTGAACCAGGTATGAACTCTAACAGCATAAAAATTAAAAATCAGAACATGCACAGTGGCTCATGCCTGTAATCCCAACACTTTAGGAGGATGAAGCAGGCAAATCACCTGAGGCCAGGAGTTCCAGATCAGTCTGGCCAACATGGCGAAATCCCCCCTCTACTAAAAATACAAAAATTAGCTGGGTGTGGTGGTGCACAGTATTCCCAGCCACTTGGGAGGCTGAGACAGAGAATAGATTGAACCTGGGAGGCATAGGTTGCAGTGAGCTGAGACTGCACCACTGCATTCTGGCCTGGGCAATAGAGGGGAAACTGTCTTTAAAAAAAAAACTTTAAAAAATTAAAAACTCTATCTCCCATGAATTGAAAATTTTTACCATGTGGATTATTAATAGGGTTGCAAGATTTGGCAATATAACAATATATGACACTGAGTTAATTGGAATTTCAGATACATATCAAATCATTTTTTAGTGTAAGTAAAGGATATTTACAGGGGATATACTTATACTGAAAGCATGTCATGAGTAATTAAGTAAATTCAAAATTAGTAAGGCATCCTATACTTGACCTGGAAACCCTAACAATTTATCAACATTCATTTGATACACAAGGACAGATCTGATTTACAGTCACTTCAAGAAAAGAAAGACTGTCATGAATTCTCATCACAGGCTCTAGAAACCGTAGAAACCAAAAAAGAATGACAGACATAAAAAGGACAAAAGGAACATAACAGAGATACATATTAATATGCATATGTAAACTTATTGAATAAATGTTTTTTTTTCATTGCTATCATAAGGGGCTGTTCAAAAGGGCATAATGTTCAATAGTGCTTGATTATATAATCCTATAAAGGATGTTTCAGATAATTTAAACTGACTACAATGTTACAAGACATAGGGGAAACCTATACTGTTGGCTATTGCAATTGTCAGAAAAAAAGGAGGTAAGAAAATTCAGGGTCCAAAAGTAGTAGAAGCCATTCATATGATAATTTCTGGCTTCTGCAGGAAAGAATAAGGATGGCATATTCTTTTTGCTGGAAAGGAGAAAAGGCAGATATGGATTATGGTCCTACTTTGTATTTAAAGAGTTTAAGTCATAAGGTAGGATGCTACCCTTTACAAATGCCTAACATAAAATGCCACACCCTCAAAAACAAATTATTAAAATTAAATGCAAGCACTTCGTTTGATGTGGCTATCTATATTCTAAACGTTATCTATACTATAAATGTTATATCCTACGCTACTCATTATTCATCCGTTGGCATAGATATAATTTTTACAGCAGTCATTGGTCCCAGAAGAAGAGGTAGCACAAGAAAAGGAAACCCAAGGAAAAGCACCAGAGAGAACGCAAACAACCAACCAAGAAAGGCAAGAATTCCTCACACTGAGAAAAAGAAAGTCAGGCAGGAAATTATATTTTTAAGTTATTTGACCTGATATTTGCCAAATGAGAACTTTTGCTGGCCTTTATTTTTCCAATGAAATCAACTATGATCATGAATTTTCTGAGGTTTTTTTTTTGGGGGGGGGGAGGGGATGCAAAGAAGGGAATGGATTTTATGTAGATATCAACATGATGTGAAAGAGAAACTACAAGAGGAATCCAGAGTCCACGGGGCAAAGATTAACAGGACATAAACAGCTAGGCTCCCAGCCCTATGGCACTTCACAGGAATCTCAGACAGCATTTCAAATTCTTCCACTAGAATAGGGATAAGGTCCAGGGATATTTTTCTTTATCTCAAGGGACAGAAAGATTCCTATTTATTTACGATCTTCAATTTTGAATCTGTATTAGTAAATATATTCAAACTTTTGGAAGTCGTCCTGCCTTACTTTTTCTTTATCTGCATCTGTTTCCCCCAAATCTAAATTAGTATTAACATCTAGATTAAACTGGGAATAGACTTGTTTTATTCCCAGGTTTACTTTAATTTGTTTCTAAATCTTGGCCAAGTATTTAAAGCCCTCTGGTTTTTATTTGTAAAATTAAAAACCAGACCATGAATAACATGATCTCTAAAGTACTTTCAATTTCTAACAGAATTATACGATTTTTTTTTCAAACATATCAAAACTTGTATACTAATAACTCTTCTCATTCCTCCTTAAATACAAGTGGAAAGGAGTTTGCTCCTCCAAATCAAAAGAAAATAAATTATTTTGGGGAAGGGATGGAGTAATAATACTGGAAAAAATATTAATTGGCATTTCTTTTATTCCATTAAAAAGGGTTCCTTTGAATCCCGAAAAATTTATTAGAAGAAATGTCAACCTATTTCAACATATACTATGTCTCTTATTTGTGTTATTTTAATAATCTAAGTGTTGTCTTTGTCTCCACTTAACACGACAAAACACAACCTATACATTGCTGGAGTAATTTTATCAAAACCATTGATAGCTGACCTGTGCAAAAAGCTGCAATTATTTTCTTGGACACTGCTTTTGCCCAGTATTCAGCATTCCTGTAATCTGACCCCATTTGTCTGCTCAAACATC